CCCCAAAACCCCAAAACCCCAAAACCCCGAGTGCATGAAATAGACTATCAATTAGTGAAATAGATATGTAAATTATAATTAAAAATATATCAATACAAAATATCTATGAGAATCGTAGCCATAACCGCATCCTTAGCTGTATTCCTCGGCCTGATAACTTGCACCTAGATCACATCTAATTCAAACACTGGAGTCTAGGCAAATGCTAGAAATCTACTTGAAAACATGTTGGACAGAGTAAGCTTTATATCTTTTTAATATCCACATCAATAGTCAAGAAATGGAGGTCAAGGTCATAGATAACACCCTATTACAACTGAATATTTTTAGGTTCCCAGAGAAAACTAAACTAATCACCATTCAAGCCATTAATCTCACTCAACTAATCAATAGGATTCTGAGAATAGAAATGGTGGAAGAGGTCACAGAAATGAAAATTAAAATAACCACAACGAGGGGCATACACCACATCATCCAAGACCAACGAAATATCAAGATGATGACGTCAACTCATCATGCAACAGTCCTACTGATGCTCCTTCAACTACTCAATGTTTCTCAGACTTTACTGCAGAGCCAGAGACAACTTATGAATAATTTACTACTGAAAATTTCCAAGAATCAACTACACCAGAGCCTAGTACAACTAACTTTGAGGAATAACAGAGCTCACCCCAGCCAACTGAGAATTACACTTATGTCTCATCTACTTCAGAACCACAATTCTCATAAGTTCCTTCACCATCACCAACTGCTGAACCAGAACTTTCCTAAGTTCCCTCTCCATCACCAAGTGCCGAGCCAGAACTCTCCAATGTTCCCTCACCATCACCAAGCGCATAAGATTTTTCATCTACTACTGCTCCTTAAACTAGTGCTCTCTTTTGATGGCAATATTGATTTGGACTTCGAGTTAATAAAATCTGGGAATGTTTGAATTAAGTAAGATACTTTAATTATTGCAAACTAATTTATTTTAATAAATTGCCAAATATTTGATATTTTACATTTATCTGATGAAGATTTTCCCTATTATAATATATTTAATTTCGAAGTTTATATTTCGCATTTCTAATAATAACAAATGAAATACATTCATGGGGTTTTGGGGTTTTGGGGTTTTGGGG